AATCTGCTACAGTTTACAAACTGAAATAGTTCAGTGGGTTGAATTTAACACCTTTGCCTGAAGTTTTATAATCTTAATGAAGAATCTGAAAGTGAAATTTCTAATAAAATCCAGCCAAATTGTGGCTTATAAAACCATGTAAGTTTTTTTACTACATGACAATTAGATAACAAACTTCTCAAGGCATATGTTTCATCAATGAATGACAGCTGAATTAACAGGAGCATGTACATTTCTCAGGATGACAGCACACTTTTTCAACCATAACAGGGTATGCTATATCCAAACTTTATCATAAAAATGTATCAAGGGCACATATCTACCGGTAAGTGGGCTTATTACCAGAATGGAAAAAGTGCTAAAATTGTTCAAATCTTCTGTTTGAAATAGTAAAGAGTTCCTATTTCTCAAGAGAAAAAGAGAGAGAAGGCTTTAGGAGTGAGCTTATATCTGTGAGGGATTATAATTGCATGCAATTTTTTGGTAATACAAGTAGATGGACCTTATAATAACCAGGAGGGGGCCTTAAATTAGTGGAGGGGGGGGGGCTTTAATTAGTGGCAGTTTACAATAAACACATCACTACATTACCATTCAAAATAGCAGGGAAGATTTCAGGGGCGGGGACTTCAATTGATTCACGCATCTTACACAAATTGTATGATACTTGTAGCTAAAGCAACTTGTGTAATAATCAAAAATAGATTGAGTAATATTAATGTACAGTTACAATACAGTCACATTGAAATAACATACCATCTGGAATGTCTGGAACATTGCCAGTTCCACCCTCACTAGGATCCTTTTCTTGATGTTTTTTTTTCTCCAGCAGTTCTTTTTTGTCTGTAATTGTCACTTGTCCATTTATGTTGTACTGTTGGCATTTTACAAAAGTAACGTTGTTATTCTCCCATACATTTCAAAGTGGAGCAAGCTAGTTAACTTTTCTAGTCTTTGAATTGTTCAAAGGCAAGAAAAATTAACTAGCTTGCTCCACTTTGAAGATTCAGTTGATATCTTAAGGTATAACGCTACAATAACCAAGGGGGAAAAGGTATTAATCAATATTCTACGTACAAATTACAAAGCACTCCTCCAAATTGAAACCACAGACACCATATAATATAAAAACTTCTGCTCAACAATTTGCCAATTACGGTTGCAAATTTAGCCCCTATGTTTAATTTCCTCTGGTCACCTGGTGACCTTGATTATCTCACCTTGGGGCATTTAACCAGTCAAGAGTTTGGAAATCAAAAGTTCTTGTAAGACTCCCAGATTTTTCATTACCACAACTTACACATAAAGGCTGATTTAACAACTAAAAATTACCTTTTAACAGCAAACACTTAAAGTCATACTACTTACACTTGAAGGATGATTTAACAACTAAAAACTGCCCTTTGATGAAAACACTTTAAGTTTTTGTTCAGGAACAGAAACATGGTGCCATGTTGATTTATGTCTTCTCATAGACACGTGTGTTATGAAATGAATACCATCACAAAATAGTCACTGATAGAAGAATGTGGATTTAAGGAAAATAAATTTGTAGTTGTTTCACACAGCTTGGTAAGAGAAAATTGACAATACATGTGACATTTCTGAACTCTGCATACAGGGTGTATTCTTACTTTCTTCAGGAGATTGTGGAACAGAGGACTGGACTGTGGAGTCTATTGGAGGATGCCTGTTTGTGCTGGCCTTGTATGGAATAAAGATCAAGATGAGTTATTTACAAAATATTTAGAACAAATGGATGAATACACTGGGGTGTGGAAGCTGAAAAATACTATTAGAAAGGTAAGTGCTTGATTATTTTTGGGAGACAGGGGAAAGTGGGACATTTACACCTCTCTTTCATACTCATCCCCCTTTCCAAAAGGTGCTAAAAGATACAGCACATCTGTTAAAGATTGCAGTTATGAAAAGGAAGAGTGTTTGTTCACAGTTTCTTCCTGTAAAGCACAACTTTTCAAGACTCTATGTCAATACAAAAGCAGAATTTTAGTTTCTGATTCCTTCCCAGACACCTCATCTTTTACATGTTTTATTGCAAAGCTGTAGAAAATAACAAAGGGAAACAGATTGAACCTTTCCCTTAGCAGGAAAGACAATAAAATCATACAGCCTTTTTTTTGTGTTAGAAACAAGAACCACAATACCCTAAACGCGTTGACTCATATATTTGAAAGAGACTTGAAAGTTGAAATACTCTTTCCTGCAACATGAATGTATTACATCACACATCCAAAAAGTAGGCAGTCTGGGAGTATATGTAGCTATTCATATAGCACAAATAATTCTTGTAATGATTCAAGGCATTGCTTCATCTTGAGCCTCGGAGCCAACACAGTTCATGATTTTTATTCAGGGATTGTCAACCTTTTATTTTCATTCATTGATAAAATTGACTTTTCTTGTCAGTAAAGGGCTACTGTATTTATATGTTAAACAAAATAATACGTGGTTGATTGTAGATATGGCATTTCTCTTCTCGTGGTCAGATCAACATTGAACAAAAAACTAGAAGAGAAATTCCATCTAGCGCACCCATGTATTATTCTCCATTCATCAAACCTTGTGTCTGTGTTTGCCAAAGCCTTGGGCTTTGGCAGATAACTCAGACAGATAGGCAAATGGGCAGATAGACTCAAAATATAGGCAATCTGAGACAGCATGTGGCTATTGATAAAGCACAAACAATTTTTTTCATGATTAAATGTTCGAAGATAAGCGAACCACCTAACGCGTTGTCAACGCGTGGGCTCGAAGAAGTCAACGCGTTAGTGCTCTTTCGCTAACGCGTTAGCTAACGCGTTGATCATCGACCCGTATCGCCTTTGTTATTCACTTTGCCACCTCCAACCTTCTTTCTTTTGTATCCATTGTTGACCAACTCAAAGGACGGCCTTCATCCGCAACTGAAAACCTTTTTGAATTTACGGAACTTTGGCGCGTGTTGACAAAATTGTCGGCGCGTGCTGACAAAATTGTCGGCGCGTGCTGACAAAAGAAAAATATTTGTATGCGTGAAGGGGCATCTGTGATACTTCTTAGAGGTGTAAAATAAATAAGGCTAGGGTCTGAAGTATTTCGAAGCAGTGCACTGATTTATGGCAAGCAAAACTACGACAATGATTTCATCACGCGAAGCAGGGACAGGCACTGCGATGACACGAATTCCGAATAAGCGGCGGTACGTAAACAAAGGATTGATCGATAGGAATAAATTTGGATCTGAATATTTCGAAGTTGTTCGCAAATTTCGCAAGCCATTTTTAACACGGCTAGAATTTCACTGCTAAAATAGCAAATAGATGAATCGATCAGAATGAAACTGTATACAACTATTTTTGAAGTTGATTGCCAAAGTACCGACAAGTACCGGGATGTTTAACGAATTTCGAGACAAGCGGCGACACGTAAACACAAGTAATAATTCATGGGATGCGAGTATTTCGAGGTTGTTCGCTAATTTACCTGGCTAGAATTTCATCGCTAGCGACAGCTGTCGATACGTTTGTCAAATTGAAAAGTCATGCGGCACATAAACACAGGATCAATCGAAAAGGATAAATTTGGATCCGAGAATTCGAAGTTGTTCGCAAACTTAATACGGCTAGAATTTCATTTATTTGGTAGCACAAGCGCCGCGACTTGTGATGAATATCGAGACATGCGGCACGTAAACATAAAATCGATCGCCCCAAAAAAAAAAAAAAAAACAGTTTGGGATACAGGTGAACGAGAATTTCGAAAGTATTCACAAATTACAGGTTGTAAAATGAAATCGCTTGACTCTTAGTTCGGTTTTTTTTTTTTTTTTTTTTATCAGGAACAGATCTTTGGATAACGCTTGTTATCGGGAATACACAGACACCGTGGAGATGCTAAGGCGAATGTGACAAAAAAGTCGGCTTTGTTTGGGCCTCTTGTTATGCAAAATGGTTTTAAAGTGTGATCTACTAATGAGCTTCACTAAACGCGTTTGCGTTTGCGTGGACACGCAAACGCAAACGCGTTAAGTTCAAAACGCCAACGCGTTGGCTCTGCGTGGGGAACGCGTTGATTGGTTCGCTTATCTTCGAACGGTACTGTAGCATGGGTATATTGGATATCATAATTTGCTCAATATTTAAGACTTATGACAGTCACCACTTACACATAGTACTTAAAACGTTAAAACCTTGTTACAGAAGGGTGGAGATGGGCATAGTAGAAAATATAAAACAAATGTCCTTGAGACTTAGAGAGTTATGAGACATTTAACTCACCAAGTTCGGTCTGTGTTATGAAATGGGAATGAGTTGTCCATCAGCATCCTCTCCTACTACACCGATGACACGTTTGCCTGTAATAATAGGTGATCCGAGAACGGTAGATTTGTCGATGGCAAATTTTCTGCCCTCATAAGAATTAATTTCATGCTTTTTCTTTTCTTAGTTGTACTTAATCTTTGATGCTTTAAGCTGATGATTCTTCTCAATGTATTTCGAACTCCGACGAAATTTCACTAACTTGTGATTGATAAGGGCACGATCGTCCTCGTTAAAAACGCCCTCCCAGGTTAACAAGCACTGCTTCCCTTCCACTTAAACAGCGCTTGCCATTCCTCTAGTTTGGTAAATGGGAAGAACGTGGACAACCTCTCTTACAGCAAAGATGGCTTTTTCGGCTTTTTGTGATCGGGAATAATCCATCGTCTATGTGAACAACAACTGCTCAAACTGTGGCCTCGTGAAACTCCGTAAGATTGTAAAAGCTCCTAACGGCGATATGGTACGGCTAAGTTATCAATGTTTCTCAGCGTAGTATGTATCAGGCGTATCTTCGAACATCGGTGTACACTTATTTGGCCAGATTTCGGGAAACATCTTTCGCGCCATCTTTGGAGGGCTGGGGGAAATAGCGGAAGTGGAGAAAGTTGTCCAAGTTGTCCAAGTGGTCAGCAGTAAGTCTTTACCAGACCTTGAGCGTTTTACATTCTTCCGCTTTTCCGATATTAGCTCTCTCCTTAGTCACATTAGCGGCTCCTTCTCGAACATTCCTGAGAGATTAAGCCTGACTTGTTTTTGTGCCTGCGAGAAAGTCACCATGGTTCCACACTCGTTGTGTAACAAGCTCACAGTCATCTTTGCGATCGTTGGGTTGAGTTTTGAGTTCATTCTTGGAACCTGCATAGAACGCGACGAACAAATTCAAAAGTATTTGACGTCTTCTAAGCCGCCTTTTGACAATTATTTCAACATATCGAAGGCTGTGTATCCTTCTGTGGATCTCCCATCTTTGCTTATAAACATAAGTGTGGTATTCCTGGAGACAGCTGGCGAAAAGTCAAATGGAAGTAACAGTTTAAGCACCCTAAAGCGAAATGTTTCTCGATCAACTTTACATTTTACGTGGAGTACGTCGTGCTTGTACGTTAGCGTAGGAGAAATCAGCTTGGAGTCTATGAAGTGGTTTTCCCTGGGGGCAATTTTTCCGAACAGAAGAAAACGTGAATTGCACATAACATTACCAGAACTCTGCAGAGACTCTCCTGTTGACATAAACAAAACCATGGAATACTTCCTCTCCACGGTAAATGATCATTCTGAGCTGAGTAACGTTTTTCTTTCCAGGTGTAGTTTCGTAGTTTAATGTTTTCTGAAGAAAGTGAAGGAGGGGTGAGGGGGCAAGAGGAGAAGGTGAGTCGGCTAAACTCTTTTCTCTACCCCCCTCCTAACTTTTTTTCCTCTCGCTCTCCTCTTCGCCCCTTCCTCGACCCTTCCTCGACTGGAAAGCGTGTTCACAGGCTGATAAAGGAACTAGGACCCTGTCGCTTGCTAGTCTACCTTGTAGGCCCATAGGCAAACCACGCTATGTGTTTGTGGTTAGTAATTGTTGACATGAGACGAACAAAATCTATGAAGGTTATGAATTGTTCAGAAGCCGTTAAGAGAAGAAAGGGAGACTCTTCTTTTAACGGCCTTCGACTAAAAGTAATTTTGTAAAACGACGCTTCAAACGGCCCATGAAGGCGAAAAAAACCATAAATACGTCGATTGAAACTTCATGTAACTTTATTGAGATATTCAGACCAAGATATGTAATTTTCAGAGCTTTATTCACAACCCTCATAGATTTTGTTCGTCTCATGTCAACGATAACCACGAACAGAAAGTGTGGTCTGCCAATGATATGGTTGGCTTGTCCTGATTGCACTCGGCAATTTTTGAGCAACTTTTGGCGTTTGGTCATGTACATTATTAAAAAGTAATAACATGATTTCTCTTGAAATTTGGGCTCGTGCAAGTTTGTTGTCTTTCAAAAAATTTACTAGTGCTTAGTACACCTCATCATAAAAATTACAATTTCCTGGATTGTGATTGGTTTTTCAAAACTTCCATTTACCACTAATTCACTTGCCAAGTTATAATCAGTTAGTTTGTCATTGGACAGTTTGTTATCGAACAGTTCAATAAGCCAGTTGTCTTCAAAGTTTTACTTTAAATAAACCAATCACAACCTTGGTTTCAATCACCATAGAAACAGTGTAAAAACTCTTAAATTGGGACTTTCTTCAAAATGGAGAATTTTTCCCTTGAAAAATGACAGTATTTTAGAAGACAGTATTGATTTTGTTTATCCTATGACACAAATGATTTTGGTATCACTCGTATGATTACAGACCGAATTGGACTCCATTCATTCCTGTTACCATCACAAGTTGCACTAAAAATCATGTTATTACCTCTACAAACTGCTCAATATTTTTTGTTTTGTGTTGATGTGCATCTTGAATAAAAATCCCAATTCCACTCACAAGAGGCGTAGCTGATTTATTTTGTTGATCGTGTGTAGTATGTTCATGTCGCTTTAGAGAACTTAAAAAATTTATTTTTTCCCTTTTTTCACTAACTTTTTTCACAAAAAGAAAGAAAGAAAAAAACAGCGCTTAAGCAGCACGTAACATCATTGCTATCCTTACTACTGACGATATAGAGGATACCCTTCTCGGGTCCAGGATGTAAATTTGGAACGAATTGTACGATTGCTATATTTTGTAGTGAAACGCTTGTGTCGATACAATAATGATTTTGATTATTAATTGATAGTTGCAGGATATAGCAGTTAATCCACTTGTTTTTGATCCAAGTCGGAACACGGTTGAGTGCATCATTCCAGGTCATGAGAAGGCTCCACCTCTTCCTGGGCTGAAGAAGCTCTTACACACTCTATGTTGGAGTTTACTTTATATTAGCCTCGTGATGGGTACTTTTACATCACAGTGGGTGATAAAGAAGCTGAGGGAATGGGACAAAGAGGAGAGTTGGAAAAACGAGAGGAGTTGGAAGAAAATTGCAGCGATGATGATTTCATCTGTATTTCTCTTTTTTGGGAGCCTTGGTATAAACATTTATGCATTGATAGAAACTAAAGATTTATATGTTAAAGTGTTTTTGGGGTTTACAATTTTTGTGCTTCTCCGAAGGGTAGTTTGGTGTACTTGGGTACACATGGATTGCAATTGCAATTGCAATTGCATTCGCAATATTTTTATCCAAGGCCATGGACATTTAACAAGTAAAAATTTTGTTTCTATTGTTTTTCTTTACCCAGCGATATTCATGGCATGTCATCACTTGCTATGGATTTTACTTGGTGTGATAACAGAACCATTTTGGGGTTTTACAATTTTAGTGGCTGTTATTTCTGTTTGCACAATTTTTTTCTTCCTTACTTCCGAGCTCTTTGATGTTCTTCCAGCACCTCAAAATTCTGATCCAACCCGACATGACCAGCCCAGTGGCGACCAAAAGATTGTATTTATCATGTCTTTAATTCGTTCCTTTGCCGTTCTGTCTGCGTTTGTGTTGTTGTTACTAGTTTTGTTTGCTGTTGCACAGGTTTTTCTTAGCGAAAGTTTGGTTGCTACGTTGGTTCAAAATGCGTTGACGTTTTTTGTAACTGCATGGTTGGGATATCTGGGGCTCAAAAAGGAGATAATCACAGGGGATTTAAAAATAAAAAGGAGTGAAAATAATGGAAACAATGGTGTGAGGACAGAGGAAGGCATAAGCTTGTCTGTTCAGGGAGACGCAGGGCCCAGTACCTAGCGCGCTGGACTCTGGATGGAAATGACTAGGTCTGTGCCCTGACTTTCACTGCCTCTCTCCAATAAGGTGTGCAAAATGAGTACCAACCAACTGCAGGGAAACCTGAAAAAATGAAGGGGGGATAGCCTTTGATGGGCTATCATCCTATCAAGACTAGCATCTCATCTTAGTCGCTCTAATGCTTCTGGAACTAATGATAAGCACAAATGAGTAAAGGGGGTAAGTTTCTAAAGAAACTGTGGTGCTGCGTCGGTGGGAGAGTATAGTAGGTAATTTAGTGTTAACAACTGACTTGAAAACGTAAATTGGCCACCGTAAAGAGTAAAAAAGCAGACGTTTCGAGCGTTAGCCCCTCGTCAATCGCTCTGACGCAGGGCTAACGCTCAAAACGTCAGCCTTTTTACTCTTTACTGTGGCCAATTTACGTTTTCAAATCAGTTGTTAACACTAAATTACCTACTTATGATAAGCACAGCTAGTTATCTGACTTGAATCACACCCCTCAGCACTCTTAATTCATTAGTAGACAGGATTCAAAATAGTTTCTAAAAAAATAACCCTTTACTCGTGCCCTCTTGTTCATCACTATCTAACTTTTAAAAATAGTAATGAAGAACCTTTATTTTAGCAGGTAAATCATGATTGTAAAACTGTACATCAATAACCGCAGAATTCTCGAGTCACACCCTAACTTTCGGTTTCTTTCTATTAGTTGTAAGTTATTTATTATAGTATTCATTCATGAACTGCTTTTAATTTTTAGATCGTAACTGTAATCAATTTGTATCAATAATAAAAGAAAGATACAAATGAATAAAAGGGCTTTTCGTTATCAGCAGTCGCCTGACCTACAGTTCAACAGGTTTTCTTACAATTTAATGTAGGGTTTGTATTGGTAGAATTCTTCTTTGCTGAGTCAAATCAGAACAGTCGAAGTGGGATTTTATTTTTAAAAATATTCAATTGTGAACTCAAGGAAATTAATTTCATTCCCATGTGTTTTCGATAACTGGAAGAAATTTTCCACACAATTTGCCTCGAAATTGGATCCTTGCAACATGAATGATGCCATGACTTCCACTTTTTTCTGGAGGTAGAGACAAACTCGGATCAATATTTGTTCCTGGGTAACCGAGCTCGACATAAGTGAATCAAGCTCGAAAGCCTACCCGAGCTCGAGTCACAACCCAACTCGAAAGATTTGATTCGAGCGCGATTACAAGGGTTGTGACTGGGGCTCGGGTAGGCTTTCGAGCTCGAGTCACCTATTTCGAGCTCGGTTGCTCAGGAACAAATATTGATCCACTTACATGATTTTTTTTATTATGTTTAATGTTATCTGGTTTAAGGAATTTTGTGGTTGATTGTCATATTTAGAGTACGAACAGTAGTACAGTGTTCGCTAATGTAGCAGAGAAACAAAGTAACTTTGGGATAAGAAGGAATTACAATTGAAATGATCATGCTATTACATTTGACAAGGGTGGATGATGTCATTTGTTTTAAACGTCTATCATTTTTGTTTCTGGTTCAAAAGAAAAGGTTGGAAGTAAATGTGGGTGAAAAGTGAAATTTACTGTCTATCATTGTAAATATTGGAAAATCAAGGCAATGCTGTCTTAATGAAAACATTAATGATTCCCTCTTTATCAAATGAGACAAAAGGGAACGAGTTTTGAGTGATAAAACTAAGCCCAGACTGCCACCGTCGTTTTGGGTTTCCGCCTGGGTAGATTTTGGTCACGTGCTAGGCAACGTATAATGAAGAACAAGGTAGAATTTCATTTCACGCCTATTTATCAATTTTATGGTGTATAACTTTCGCATTTTAGTACGTAATATTTATTGTGAATCTTCAATTGTCTTGATACTTAAAAGAAACTTTTTCTTTAAAAATTCACTGTAAATCGGTGGCCAAAATTATTTGCTTAGGTGTTATTTGATTTTCGTGTTAACCTGTAATTTCGTCAGTCGCTGGCACCTTTTGTTACTTCACACAGAAAAAACACACGATACGAAATGTAATAAACGATTTTGTCCCCAATCTCACGCTTAACAGAAAAAGCTTTTGAACACCTGTAAACTCCGAGCGCTTCGGAGTAAGTGATATTTTTAAAGAATCTTCGGATTTTTTTCAAGTTCAAGGATTGTAAATTACAATTTTATGAATAACGAAGGTTGTCCTCTTATTTCAGTGTGAATCCTCGCACGCCTGCCAGTTGCTGGCGCCACTTGTTGAAACTAAAACGAAAAAAAAATAAACTCACCCCACCACTATTCTTAGTAACAAAGGTCGCCATTTCGTTTGTTTATTACTCGCCAAAAACTATCAAATGCACTCAAAAGCCTAAAATCGAAAAAAAAGTTTACAGGAATCGACCAATCGAGCGAGCGAGCGAGTGCCATTCTCCACATCATATCTACAACTCGCTCTTACGCGTGCGCGCAATTCACGAGTTAAAATCATGAGTTCGAAAATCGAACGTTCGATTGAATTCGATTGTACAATTTTTTGTGTGAGTTCGATTGCGTTCAATTTACTGTGCCGGGAGAGATTCGACTATAATTTCATTCCTTAGCGATGTCTGGAGGAAAGTTTTGTTTGGAATAACTTATGTCCCCTTTTCTTACGCGGTGTTTCATTCGATACGTTATCCATAGGACACGAGTGATGTTGCGACTTTCAGTGTTCGAAATTACAGAGTCTTATGCATAAGTGCATATTACGGAGTACTTTTTTCACTTTCTCGCATACGTCTCAAATTAAATTTAGAACATCCTCTCAGGATCAGTAGGTCTGTACACAGGGAACCAGAGTAGCTATGACCTTTTCCAAAGAAAATTTTGTTTTTAGAAATTTTGATTTAAAAGGTGCCAGATTTTAAAATAATTGATGAGAAAAAAATTTAAAACAAGTGAGCTGGAGTTAAAAGAAAGCTTCAACACCCGCCTAGTATCATTGAAAATACGTAACGTTTCCTTAATAGTATCAAGCTCGTTACATGCACCAATTAAGAGGAAGACTGGATTGGAGAGCGGTTTATACAAAACACATACACACACACACTTTATTAATTCCAATTAAATTTAACAGAAAAGAGCATGCCGGCAACTAGCAAAGGCTAATCCAGGCGGGCCATGCCTTAATAGCCGAATTACAAAAATATATTAAAAACAGAAATTAACTAATAAAGTAGAAGGGAAAGAGACAGCATTGAATAACAACAAGAAAAACCGTTACATTGACCTAATTTAAAATATTAAAGGTACAGCTACTGTTTATAGAAATAGTCAGGACAGATCAGGAGAAGTATAACCAGGATTTTAACTTGACACATAGTTCCACAGTCTCTTCGGAAGATTCAATCTCACTAATGTGTGGGACACCGACAATTTTAATGTTACATTGGTAACTGTAGAACAGCATTTCGTCGATGGCTTTGTCGGTCCTTGTGACATTCTCCGTCAATATATCCAATCGCCACGATAGGTTTTGTAAACCTTCTACCATATTCGTTTTGTACTGCACAAGAGCATCATAACCACCACTGAGGTATTGAACATCGTTTTCAGTCGACAAAGATGCTATCGCGGCGTCATTCTTTTCCGCCATCTTGTTCTTGAAAGTTTGGAAATCTGTCGCTAAATCTTGCATCTGCCTCTTGAGGTTATCGTTGGCTTTTCTTAAACACTTAACATTGTCTCCCATATTGAAAAACAGATAAATAAGGACTCACACTTCAGAAACTAACGATAAATTTTGTGAAATTTTCGACCGCTTCACTGCGTTCGCCACCACGCACGATATGAAACAAGACTTACAGTTTTGAGATAGAAAGCAGAAATTGAAATATGGAAATAGGTGTACATAGATTAAATAATAAGGAGGGAAATCTGAGAATTCCTCGCTTCTCAACGTACAGGTTTAAAGATCTTTGCATGCACTTGAAGTTTCATGCCCTCTCTCATCCTTCTCTTCCTTTGTATTTCATTTGCTTTTTATTATTTTCATACTGTCTTGTATTTTGGAAGAAAACATTTTGATCAATATATTAGATTGGTCTAAATCTTTCCGGGTGCTTCTTTTCCCACCCAATGAATTAATCAAAACTTTGGAATAGCAGTAACTGAATCTACAAATAACGAAGTCCGCCAAGTTACTCTCGATCCTAGAGCTTATCAGAGTCAAGTCCGGATCGAACAGATTTTTTTCTTGTTATTTTCGCAATAAAAACCGTTAAGCATTCGATTTCAACCCTTTTCCTTTAGGAATTGTGTATTTTCTCTGTTAATTTTCAATTTCGGAGTTCTGGCAGACCTGCAGAGAAACAATGAAAGTCACGCTCACGCATCCGACATTCGTTCCGTGAGTTGAAGTTTGGGGCCAGTCTGAAGAACTTTTCCCCGCACGTGGTGAATACGCATGCTCAGGTATGATGGTGGAAAAACATGGCCGATGATGAAGATGACGATCCGGTCGTGGCAGAGGTTTGTTAGGTTATCATTGGAGATAAAAATGCACTAGTTACGTTGGAAGGTTATCATTTGAGACAAAATCTCTGTATACATCCACAGGTGGACGTTTATCTGGCCCAGACTTTGGCCAACAACCTCTACTTGTTTCAGGTACAACTTATTCTTCTCAAACATAACGAATCTTTCCGTATACATTTAATATTTGACATGAGCAAAGGATTATCAACTTTGAGTATAATATTTGAGAGAAAGTTGTATTAGCGACAAACAGTTCACACAGTTCGACTTTAATTTCCGAAAGGGCTTATGTTGACTTCGAGAATTTAAGTTAACTTTGAGAGCTGCACTGGTTTGACAGGTGTGCTTAAATTTCCACCTTGTGGTAAAACTGACATTTTTGGATCACCCACTTCTTGTTTAGTGTTGTCCTACTTTTCTCAAGCTGCCATATTTTGCCTATGCTATGCTTCCAAATATTTGCCTTAATGAGTAACTTGCCACAGGATATTACAATTCCTAGGTTTTGATTCGGGTGCTGACCTTTGTGCTCTTCAGAAAATTACTCTTGTGCATGCTGTTTCAGAGAAGTCGTGAAAATATGTAAATTTCTGAATAGTTTATAAGATGTGTAATCTCTTAAAAAACAAGTGGACAAGCTTTCAAAGATAGGCCCATACATTGTAAGTCTAGAGGAAAGGGGAAAACAATGTCTCTGAGGCCTTTTCAAATTTTTTTGCAACCTTTTTCTATTGTTTGCATGTTTATAAGTGTTTTGGCCCATTGGAAAATTGAAAGTTCTTACTGCTCAAGAAAACAAAAGTCACACAACATGATTCAGAAGGCTCATAGTAAATTTATGTTGAGTCTTTTATCTCACTCGCAATGGATTCAAGTGTTACTCTTCATTATATTATAGGTTTAAGACTGATTGAGATTTTTTTCTTTCCATGGTGTAACAACAAAGATCTAACTCAACATGTTTGTTTTGCAGTATCCAGTCCGTCCAGCTGATATTACTTATGATGATATCCCTCATATTGGAGCGAGAATCAAACCAGACCAGCAGAAGGTGAGTGAGAAAGTATAGTAAAATTATTGAGCTGAAAGTCCAAAACTTAGAATAGAATCCTGGCTAGCTTAGGTTATAGAGCACCAGACTGCGTGCAAGAGGTCAAAGGTTTGAGCCCTAAACCAGCTCAACACTCAGAGTTTTAAAATAATTGAGGAGAGTGTGCTACTTTACTCTGTACCACCTGTCTCCTGCATCTTCTCTGTACCAGTTTTCAGGGGACATTAAAGAACCCACACACTCTCTGTGAAGAGTAGGGAACAAAAAGAAAGAGAAAATGGTTACACATGTCAGCATGAAGTGATTGCTGAGTACTATAATACTGGGTATCAATCTACCATCTGGGCTTTTTGAAAAAATTAGAGTGCTGGAAGAAAGGAGACCAATTGTGTAATTTGAGATGCAGTGTATCTCTCTGTTGTATTGTTTTCTGTCCAAGAATTGCTTTTATTGTGTGTCCTTAATGAAGAACAGACAGTTCTGGATAGTGAGATGGATGTCTTTTGAAAGTATGTGGATGTACTTGCTATACCTTAATTGCAAAATTCATAAATAATCCACTAATATACTTTGTCCTGGATTTTCAACTGTGAGTTTAGGTTGAACTTGAGCTGTCAATAAACACAAGTAGTGATAACTATTATGCACCCAGAGGAGAACAGATCGCACATGATGTGGATGGCTCTGCTTTGTCATCTGCCTCTGAAGGAAAAGAATCATTTTTTTCCAGGTACTAAAATATCCAAATTCCTTTTGAAAATTGACCATAGTATGTCTATTAACAGAACTTTTAAAGCAATACTGGTTAATGTAAAAAAAGTTGATACTCGTTCTGCACAATTGACCACTTTTCATTTTTTTTTTAATTTGCCATCAATTAATAATTCTGTTGGAAAATGTTTAACCCTGTACTCCCTAACATCAGTATTTATATTCTCCATAGTGTTCTCTATGCATTTCCAAAGGTGCTGACAAAGAGAATTTGATTAGCCGTCAAGCTCCTTTCATTATATTCCCTTGTGCTGAACAAAGCTGGTAACCATTTTTCTTTTGGCCAGGTATAAGCCAGTAAACAATTGCAGGATTTTGAAATGCCCTAGTTGTTCCATAGGAATACCTTTTTTTCATAATGAAGTGTGTGTTGTTGTTTTTTTCCTCACTCTTATTAACGATAAGATGGATAAGCAAGTGCTCTCTTCATCAAGAGCCTCAGAGGATGTGAGTCGATATTCTGTGGGCATTCTCAAAGGAGGTACCTAAGTAGAAAGTATTTCCTTGCTTAGTTATGAGGAAATAGTTATTGTCGTAGTTGGCAGATGTACATGTAATAGAGGTTGAAAATCAAAAGACTTACTGTAAACACTGGCATTTAAGCTGTGCCTTTTTCCCAAAATTTTTGTAACAAATCAGGGTTGCAGGTTCTCTAGGACTATCTGGAAAAACATGTTGCAAATTTGCATAGATATGAACCACTGGTACTCATCAGAAATGTACAAATCTGTTGTAAACCAACAAGAAATTTTTAAAAATATTCTAGGATAGAAATATTGTTTTGTCAGTTTGGTAGCTTCTTTAAGAGCCATATCTGTTCTTAAGTGCAAGCTTATATTCCAAATCTTCTTCATTAAGAGACTGTTTTATTGGTTTAAGGTCACCTAAACTTCTTTGGGCAGCTTTAAACTTTACTAGACAAGGAACCCTGCTGTACATTACTCTGATGAAATTTATTGCTCTAAAAGCTACTTGTGTTGCCTTTCTTCCGAACAAATGCTTGGCTGCTAAGCTACAAGCAACCCAACCAACAAACTTAAGATTTCCTGTTGTTTTATGTGAATTCTGTTGAAAATCTGACAGGAATGAGAAAAACAAAAAACTGGTTGAAGAATACCAGAGTAAGTTCAAAGATAAGTCTTTGATGTCTGTTCTATTACTAACAGCTGAAACTATGGGTAAGGATTCAAAGTATTGTAGTATTCATATGTCCAACAAAACAACCAAAATAAAGCAACTTTCTTTAAGACTCCACTTGTGATATCTTTTGGTTTCCTTTCGAAAAACATCTCCGAGGAGAATATTCCTGCCAGGTTCTTGAAGGGAGACGTCCGTAGCCGCAGCAAGCGACACTTGCTCTTCGCAACAAACCAGCAACTGCAGCAGCTTGTCCTGGCCAAAAACTGGTACGTTGATGGCACATTTAAACTCTGTCGCCAGCCCTTCACCCAACTGTTTACCATCAACGCCTTTGTGAGGAGCGGCGAGCAAGCCAAACAAGTTCCTTTGCTGTTTGTCCTCATGTCTGGTAAGAGAAAGCGGGACTACCGTACAGTGTGGCAAGAAGTGCTGAGAATACTTCCTTCGCCTCCAGCAGTCAGAAGCATCACTCTGGACTTTGAACAAGCTCTCTGGACGGTCTTTAGAGAGCTGCTTCCCAACGTGTCACTGCAGGGATGTCTGTTTCACTGGACGCAAGCGTTGTGGAGAAAGGTAACGCATACCTAAAGAAAGAATTTATATAGGCACACACGAGAAAAAATATTAATTTCTTAACAGCATATCTCTAAAAATCTATTTTCATTATTTCAATAATTTCAATTAAACCCATACCTACCTACCGTCCTTCTCTAAGGGCTCCTCTCTGAATAATATCAATCAAGCTTAACGCATACCTATACTAATAGAATTAGAAACACACGGAGTTAAAAATAAGTGCTTAACGGCTTATCTCTGAAAATTTGTTTTCCTTTTTTTCAATAAGGTTCAAGAGTTGGGATTGGAGCCAGCCTACCGCGCAGACAGCCGTACCTACAAGTACATTAGAAAACCCATGGCGCTGCCCTTCCTGCCGGAAGCCGAGATTACGCCGATGTTTCAGCGGCTCAGAGACCGCGCCACTACCACTGCTCTGGAAGCACTTGCCTTGTACGTGGAGGAGAACTGGATTACCAGCACAATGTGGCCTCAATCCTGTTGGTCTGTCTTCATGCTGCCGATCCGCACCAACAACGACATAGAGGCGTGGCACCACGGTCTTAACAGTAGAGCCAACAACAGAGTCCACTTGCCATTCTACCTGCTGGTGGAGCTGCTACACCAGGAGGCCAGACTTGTCTCCATTCAGATAAGGCTAGTGTCAGACGGGAAGCTGTCCAGGATTCAGCGGAAGAAGTACCAGCTGCTTCAATCTAAAATCTTCAAGCACTGGGAAGACTTTAACGGCAACGAGATTTGTGCCCGCCGCCTTCTCAAACTCTGCAGTTACCTGAACGGCCCGGCGACCAAAACCTGAAGCAGAACCTGGAACATCAAAAAACGGCTCTTTTAGGAGCCACCACGCCCTGGTTGCGTCTCTAGGACGTTTCCAGGTCGCTAAAAATGGCTCTTTTAGGAGCCGCCACATCTGCAAAAGTCATGATCAACATATGAGCTGCTCTTCTAGATTTAATATTCAATAAAGTTTGTTGTTATTTTGCCGCGGGGAAACTGGGTAATATAATTCGACCGAATATTGAATAAGTTCCCTTGACAACATCACAGACGTCGAAATTTGCATACAGATAAGTAAACAAACTCGTGAGTCGATTCGTTCGAACTTATAACATCACAGACGTCGAAATTTTCATGCAAATAAGCAAACAAACTCAGGAATCGATTGGTTCGAACTGTTAACTCTCCTTGGGAAACAACTGTAGTTGCCTCAGGAAAGCTTCAGTCCATCGACGCTTACAATATCTCGCACCGACTTGACAATTTCTCGCATCTAGTTTTAATACAACTGCTATCGAGTTTCATTTCATCACTTATTTCTTCCCATGAAGTTTCATTTTCTCTCAAGTAAGTTTTTATTCCTCGCATCGAGTTTTTGCAATTTCTCCTCGCTTACGTGCAAAAGACAAACACGATACGTTTCGATGTCAATGAGTTAGGAACGGAACACATCTAACACGTCGCTGAAGGTCATAATTTAAATACAGACAAGCGCACAAACGTATCGGCCGATTTGAATTGTGCTCGTTCGAACATCCTATTCTCCTCGACTACTTTATTCTAGTTTATCTCTTTATTGGTGGTTGGTGGCGAGAAGACTTCGCTTGGTGGCGAGTACGTTGGTGGCGAGATCGTTCCTTGGTGGAAATATAGAAAAAAGGTACAGCTTTTTGTTAGACAAAGTATTCCAAAGAGTTCATTTATCACTAATTTGAGTCAAAACCACAAAATCTGGCGATTATGGTACAACAGAGATACTTTTTATAGCAAATATGCCTTCAACATGAAGACACAGAAATGTAAGATGAGGCAAAAGCATTGTAGCTGCATACACCGCTGTAATAATAAGTCAAGTTTGAAGGGAGGTATGCATCATAATACAGCCGATTCACTGTGGAATTGTTTAAGTCAAAGGCTTGCACAGATAGGTTTAATACCACATGATGTCGGGGGATCTGATGATTGCTTTTTCAAATCAGTTTCACATCAACTTTATGGAACTGCAGACCTACATGTAGAAGTTCGCATGGCCAGGATAACTCATTTACATAATTACCTGGAACTATATATTGAGATGATACCTGGGAAAACTATATTAAGCAAATGTCAATACCTGGTACTTGGTGTGATCATCTCATCATACAAGCTGTTGCTAATGCCTTTAACTGTGTCATTCATATCACAGAATCTAATGCTAATTCACTGCAAGCTACAGTTATAACTCCTGCTCTTCAGCAGGAAATACAACACAATATTTATTGGGTACATAAATGATCTGCACTATGTTTCAACTGTGACACACAGAAACAGTCAAAATATAAATAGATTAAAATACTTAAAGAGAAAATATAGTGTTTCAGAATATGACAAGGAGAGGATACTTGGTAAAAGGAGAGTCAGTGCTAAAAAAACAATTATCTGAAGAAACTGCTGGAAAAAAGCAGGAAAGGCGTGCAAAAAGAAGAGCGAATTATAAAAAAAATTGTCGTAAGAAAGTGCTGATAAAAAGCAAGAAAGGCTTGCAAAAAGGAGAGCGAATTATAAAAAACAAGCCTCTCAGCAACCAGTGAAAGAGAGGCAAGAAAAACTGATTGATTCTCCAATTCATGAGCAAACACAGGCAAAAAGCAATATTGATATGTTTCATAAGTCCAATATCTATAAGGTTTACCAGTGTTCTGTTTGCCAGGAAGCATGGCCCGTAAAGTACAGGCCAAGAATCGCTAATCAATATCAGTGTTCAAGGTGCACCAATGATAAACAACAACCAAAGAAATGTTCAAAAGAGAATGATATGATTCCTTCATTAGTTCCTTCTCAGCTTGCGGGCTTAACCCAAGTAGAAGAAATGCTTATTGCACGAGCACTTCCCATTATGCGTGTTTACATAAAGCCTGGTGTGCAACGGGGCTATTCAGGTCACTGTATCAACCTTCCACAGAATGTAGGTGAACTAGCACATTCTCTACCAAGATACCCAAAAGATTTATCTGTTATAGTTGTTAAGATGAAAGGTAAAGACAACAGCTTTAAAGATGTAACAGTTCGAAGACAAAATGTTGCAGATGCACTGCATTGGCTTATTAATAACAATCCGTATTACAAAGACATAATTATCAACAACGATTCTTTGAACTCATTGCCTTTGCATGGTGTACCACAAGATCTACTTTCAATAGAAACAGAAAATCTTGAAAACAGTGAAGCTAGTGAGCCTGACTTAGGGCCTCAAAACGAAGAAGACATAGTTTATAATGAAAGCACAGAAATGAGCAGTTTTCTACCTATTCCTGAATGTCAACAGCAAGAAGTTCAAGCTATACAACAACAGTTGTGTCACCAGCCTACACCTATGCCTTGGCCAACAGTAGATAATGAGCCATTGAATGAGTATCTAACTCCTTTCTTAGCAACATTAGCTTTCCCTACATTATTTCCTGATGGCAAGGGTGACCCTACCAATCCTTCACTTCACAGAGATGTACCACTTGCAGAAAGAGTTAAGCATCTTTTAAGATTTGGAGAAAATATAGATGGCAAGTGGCTATACCGCTTTGCCAGTCATCCAAGATTTGCTTACTGGGCTTTGAATATGATCCAAAGAAAACGTATTCTGCAGCAAACAGGAATATTTCTCAAACAGAATCCCGGAGAAGCACATCTGACTGTAGAAGAACTGCAACAAATGGCAGCTGACAACACAAATGTTTTCGTATCTAAGTTATCACGCTATCTTAGTAACATAACTGGCTCAAATGCTTATTGGCATAAAGCTA